GCCCGGAGCGCGCGCTGGAGCGGCGCGAGGAGGAGGCGAACGTGGTGCTCACCGGCACGGTGGAGGAGATCCTCAACGTGGACCCGGTGCAGCACACGTACTCTTGCAAGGTGGGCCCCGCCGGGACCCCGGCCCCGGGAGGCCCGGGCCGGGGCCTCTTCCCCGCGATGCCGCCCCAAGGCCCTCCCCTCGCTTGCCGGCCGCGCTGCTGGGACCCCTATCCCAGGCCGTGGGAATGATCCCGGACGCTCCGCAGCCCCCGCTCGCGCTCCCTTGGCGACCGCCAAGCCTCCGGGTGGGGCGCCTGGTCCCGGAAAACTCTGGAGCGACAGGGAAAGTTCCTGCGGTGTTGCTGCGGTACCGCCCGTGGTGCCCAGGCCGGGCAACCGGGTGTTGGCTTCCCCTCCGCCCAAAGCCCTTTCCCTTATCGAAAACAAGTGCACCTCCCCCCAGGAAGGATGGGGGCTGCCGCGCCCCCTCCCCACCAGCCAAAGAAAAGGGGTAGGGTCGGGGAGATGACGCTCTTTGCCTGGGGTGTGGACGGGAGCTCTACCTGTGATCAGTGCTGTTTCCCCCTTCTCAGAGGCGGAGATACCAGTGCTAAAGGGGGTGCCGGGAGAAAGAGGTGCACAGCCTAATTTCCTAACGTCGGGAGACTGCTGAGGGGTGCTGCGGCCACGGTTGTGGGGGGCTGGGGCAGGGAGTGGGCGGGGCCGCTGCTGAACCTCGCGTGCCTGGGCCCAGTGGGGGAAGGGGAGCAGGGGCAGGTGCTCCATCCCGCTCCCGGGAATACTGGAGCGCCCCTGGCCCGAGGGAGGGGAGTCTTGTTCCACTTCTCCTTCAGCTGGATCTGGGAGCTCCTGGAGTAGGTCTGGTGGGTTTCCTCCACGGTCTTCCAGGGAAGGCCCTGGGGACCCAAGGTTGGTCCTCCCTCCGGCCCCCAGACTACCTCACTCCACCAGAAAGGGATCATTCTTGTTCCAGGGAGATGGCGAGGGTTGCGGCTTGTTTCAGAGTGGTCTGTGCGGGCTACAGCTGGGGTCCCCCCCACCGAGCCCCTCCCCTCACCGCTGGGCACTTTGCCAAGCCCCTGCAGGATTTTCCCGACTTCCTCCCCTGCTCCTGGGTGTGGCTGGGGTGGGGGGAGGCGATGAAAGCCGACAGGCCCTCTCCTGCCTGGGTTCTCTCCTGCTGGAGCCCACTGGACGTGTGGAGGTTAGATGAGGCTGGACCAGCTGATGGAGGGTCCCTGCAGACTCTGCAGTCCTGAGCTGGCAGGTGGAAAGGCGTCCCATTGTCTCTTCACTCCCACTCCAAGAGCCCTGGCCCCCAACAGCGCTTGAAGAAGGGGCCTCTTCCCAGAACTCCATTTGCAGGGAGTGAAAGGATCTGTGGACCTGTGATGTGGGCTGCCTTGGGCGGGGGCTGTGGCTGTCCCTCCTGCCAGAGTGTCAGAGTAGATGCCCTCAGGGTCCCAGGAGGAGAGGTGTAGGGTGGGGCTGCCTAAAGCTGCCCGAACTTGACTTTGTGGCTCTCGGCTACCTTGGCTGCCCTGACGCTGGAGCTGGAGGAGGGGGGCCTTCATTTCCTGGAAGGAAGGTGTCAGCCCACCCACAGGGGTCTCAAGATCCTGGCTGGCCACTTGCCCCCAAACCCCCCTCCATCCCTGTGTCTCAGTCCTGGCTTTGCCCAGAGTGTGAGCAAGTGGTGGTAGGCAGGGGGCAGAAAAGGAAGGGTGGAGGAGGCAGGCACTCCAGACCAGGTGGGCCCCTCCCCAAATCCAGCTTGAGCTGAGGTGGACATATTGGAGTTGGGTGCTGATCTTGGTTAGACCTGGAATAGGAGCTAATTCCTGGGGTGGGCCTGTGTTCATGAGACATCACATGAAGAGGTCCCAAGTCCTCAGGTGACACAGGGGGGCAGCACCACCCCAGCACTGTGTATATTTACCTGCAGCCTCTGCCCAGGCCTGGTGTCTACTGTAGGCATTCGACCTGAGCAGCTGAGGTCGGAGCCCGAAGGGCCCGGGCCATTGTCTGGTATCCTTCCCCCGGGAGGAAGAGGACCATTAACACCTGCCCCCGTGTCTACCCAGGTTCGAGTCTGGCGCTACTTGAAGGGCAAAGATGTGGTGTCCCAGGAGAGCCTTCTGGATGGTGGCAACAAGGTCGTCATTGGTGGCTTCGGAGACCCCCTCATCTGTGACAACCAGGTGTCTACCGGGGACACCAGGATCTTCTTTGTGAACCCAGCACCCCCCTACCTGTGGCCAGCCCATAAGAATGAACTGATGCTCAACTCTAGCCTCATGCGGATCACCCTTCGCAACCTGGAGGAGGTGGAGTTTTGTGTAGAAGGTGCGTGGGGGGTCCGAGCAGGGATCCAATGGGGTGGGCAGAGGGCTGCCAGGTATGTGTGAAAGGTGGGCTTGGAGGTGAGTGGCAGAGCGTTGGGCCCAGGGAGAGTGAAGAGGGGTTTACTTGCAGCTGGAACACATACTGTCTGGCTGTCTGGCTGTGTTCCCACCTCATTCCTACTTTGCTGCTCCCTGGCCGCATTTCTAGTCATCCGGCCATCAGAGCCCAAGGAACAGAAGCAAGCCCTGCAAAGGGACTGGCTTCCTCTGCTTCCTCACCCCTTCCCCCTTGGAGGGCTCTTTCCCAGGGGAGGAGCTGGGACCAGGTAAATGATGGACACCAGCTGCCATGCTCTGGCAGAAGCCCCGTGTCTGCCTAGACTGGTGCACACATTCGAGCAAAGCCCTGGTGGCCAGGCTTAGGGGTTGGAGGTTGGGGGCCGATCCTGTGTGTCCAGAGGCCCACGGTTTCTGGGAAGAGCTGCTGTGTGGGATGAGTGCTTCTGGGGACTAGACAGGTTAGTGCCTCTGGGAAGTGACCTGTCACATGATAGGCCAGGGAATGTGGTGGGAGAATGTAAGAGTTTGTCGCCTCCACTTCCTGTCTGTTCCCTTATGGCTATCTGGAATGGGATGTGGGGTGGGGGACGGAGAGAAACTTCCTCCTCAGGGCAGTGGCAGGGGTCATGACTTCCACTTATTTGAGGTGCTCTGTTGGCCAGTGGGGAAGTCCTAACTATTGTCTGCCTTTCTGCTTTGATGCAGCTCCTGAGGGGGATCTCTAGGACCCTTCCCCACGCCCCCGTGTTGTCTTGCTGGGGGCACTGTGAAGGAGGAGGTACCTAGCCCAGAATGGGCAGCCTTGTGGTCTGTCCCCCAGCTGTGGTCAGCTGCTCCTGGGCTACCTCCAGGTCCCCTGGATTGGGCCCTGCTCAGCAAAGGCTGAGCCGTGGGAGTCTAGCCAGGCCATCCCACTGGGCAAAGACCAGTCCTGGTCCTGCCCTGGAAGCTGTGGGCTGGGCATAGCATGGAGGCATGGGGGGATGAGTAGGACGGAGGAAGGCCTGGAAAAGGAGGGTCTGGGTGCTGTCCCTGCTCATCCCTGAAAGATTGAGAAGGAAAATCATTAACTCTCTGAGGGGTGGGTCCCTCCTGAGGGTCTGTGACTCAGTAACTGAGGCCTGATAAGGAGTCAGAGGTCACACAGATTCAGCTTCTGAAGCCTCCTTTGCCCATGCCAGACCTGGGCTTTGGTGTTAGGAATGACCAGGCCCAGCAGAGGGACAGCGGGGGAGGAGAGTCCCCAAGGAGACCCCCCAGGTAGTGTGGCTTGACCTGTTGTGAGCCATGTGGCTCAGGGATCAGTTAGGACCTGAAAGCCAGGTGGGGGCTTCCAGACAGGCCAAGGGGACACAGGGGAGCCCCAGGAAGAGGGGACAGAAGAGGAATCTGGGTCCCGGTGAGGTTTTGGGGAGCCCAGAGAACTTGAGCAGGGTTGAGTGACAGGAATCTCGACTTTGGAAGCAGACCAGGGGTCCGTGGCTGTAGGACAGGGACCGTGCGTCAGTGACGCAGGGTGAGATAGGCCCCCCTGAGGCCTGAGGGACCAGGCTGGAGGGACATCTCTGGCCCAGTCCTCCCAAGCTGGGTCCCTCTTCTGTTCTGAAGATGACCACATCAGCCCCCTCCCCAGTCCTAGTGATGGTGGGCAGACAAGGCTAGGACCTAGTGGACCCTTCCCCACACTGCCCCACCCCAGCAGGGCACAGGGGATCTAGTCTTCAGGGCCCTCTGGGTGGGAATCCAGTCTGGGAACACGCCCTCCCCACCGCTGCCTAGACACTGCCCGGAGGGGTCCTGCTGCCAGGGCAGAGACCTTTCCCCCTTCTAGCGGCTTCTTTCCTCAGTTTCTCCCCTGGGCCAGCTGGAACTTCCTGGCCCTGTCCGGTCGGCCCCTCCCCCAGCCAGGCCCCCTAGGAAGTCTCCTCCTCCCTCCTTTGCCTGGGGAGCCACATTCCTGGCATAACTGAGACAGGTATGTGCCCCTCCCCCTGTACCACCTTTGGGGGCCCCTCCTGCTCCTTCCAGAAGGCAACCCCACCCCCTGCTTTGCTGGGGAGAGTGGCCTGGCTTAGCCTCTCTCCCTGGCCAGCAGCTGCCATTTGGGAGCCTGCTCAGGGCAGCCCTCTGCCACCTTGTCCCACACTCCCATCACCTCCCTCTCCACCTCAGGGAGGCCATCCTGGTGCTTCGCCAAGCCTCAAAGCCCCCAAGAGGGACACAGGCCTGACTGGGGGCCGGCAGGGCAGCCTGAGGCCCTTCCCTCCCCACTCCAAGCCAGTAGCAGAGAAAGGAAGTGTTGTCTGCCCCTGCCGGGGCCTGGCACAGGGACAGGGCAGGGGGCCAGGGTTGGAGTGAGCCTGGCACCTGCCCAGCTGGGCTCTGCCCAGCCCTGAAGCTGGGGGTCCTGGCAGCCAGGCTCCCAGGTCTGGCCTAGCCAGCAGTGTTCTGGTCAAGCCCTTCCAGCCAGGCCAACTGTCCAGGGCCCTCAGGAGGACAGTCCCAGGGCAGTGGGTGGGGGCATCCTGACCCCCAGGCCAGGTTCCTTTCCCCGATCTCTTGATCTCCTAGGCTGTGGGGAGGCTTCTGGGCTGCTCTCTGCTGTGTACTCCATTTCTGTACCCACCCCCCAGCTTTCCCACCTTCCTCTGCAAATGGGAGGTCGCTTCTCCCTGTCCCTGCTTCCCTCTTCTGGACTCCAGGTTCTCAGCCTACCCCTTGGCCACACCTAGTGCCCTCCTGGCCCCTCCCCCAGGCAGGTCCAGGCTGGAGGCTGCTGGCACGGAGACTGCCTGCCACAGGCAACCTGCCTGTGTGGCTGGGGGAGGGGCCGTCTCCTTCCCACGGGGGCTGGTGCTGCTGGAGCACCTGAGTGGGTCTGTCTTTGGCTTCCCTGGGTTTCTGGGGCAGTTCTGGGATGGGTGGGGAATGCCCTGGATTCTGTGGGGTGATCTACCTTACACAGGCAAAGGAGGGCAGGACTGGAAACAGCTCTTGGCTTTTTCCAGACCCACCCCATTCCCCCAATCCCCACTCAGAGAAGAGCCCCCCCTCCGTCCACCCCCCACTGGAAGTGGAAAAGTCTGCTTTGAAGCAGCCTCCCTCCCTCTCCTGGGCTGCCCAGTGGGTGCTAGAGGGAGTCTGTTGGGGCCTGCCTCCACTTTCACAGCACCCCTGTGGGTGGGGGCTGCATTCCAGGTTAGAGGCCACCTACTCCGGACACCCACGCAGGTCAGAGGCCAACTTCCCAGCCCCAGAGGCTGAGGTGGAGAGACTGGAGGTCAAAATGGGGCTGTTCCCACACTGAAGGGCAAGGGGGCAGCCCAAGGTTGCTCCTGCCTCTTCCCCCCTGGCCTTCTGCTCCTTTCAGAAGGGCTGATCCCCCAAACCTAGAAGATCAAAGCCGACCCCATCACGACAGGGGGTGGGAAACTGCTGTGGCTGCTGCAGGGGGTGGGGGCAGCTTCCACTGTCTCCACTGTGGGACCCAGGCCAGCTGCTCACATCAGAGCTGGGTGGGCTGGATGGGGTGGGAGCTGCCCTCCTGCCTCTGTCAGCTCTTCCCTGTGGGGCTCCCCAGCTTTGAGGCCTTGCTGCGCTGGGGGTGGCTGCAGTCACCAGGGTAGCCTTGTCTAGCAGACTTGGTCCTCCCAGGGAGAGTTACTCTGGGCAGAGGCCTCTGCCCCCTGTATGTTCTGCTGCTGGGCCCCAGGCTGGGGAAGGTCTCCTTGAAGCCTCCAGTGGAGAGGGACCCTCCCCAGTGAAGGGCCCCCTCCCTCCAGCTCGGGTCCTGAGAACTTCCTCTGAGGAAGGCCCCCTGCAGGGGCTGCTCACAGCTGGACCTGGGACAGGGGAGCTGGCCTCTCCCAGGCTTCCCTGCACACACCCCCACCGTGGAGTGGAAGGGGGGGGAGCAGAGCTGCTCACCCGCAGGCTGTTTCCAGCTGTGCTTGTGTGTGCCTGGGGCCAAGCTGTGTGCCGTCATTCTGTACTTTCCATTGGCCTGGCTGGCGGTGCTGGTTCCTGACGCAGTGGAGAGAGGTGGAACCCATCTCCAGAGGCCCAGGGTCGGACTCCCTCCCAGATCTGCACCTGAGAAGCTAGTGTCCCTGGGCTCAGCCTGGGAGGAGGACGCTCAAGTCTTGGCAGTGGGCGCCCTCTGCCTGTGTCTGAGAGGCCTCTGCCTTCATGCACGTGTATCACCTCTGCTTGCTGCTTATTGTCCAGTCTGTCCCCTTGCCCTGTCCGGCTGGGCCTTGTGCCTGCCAGGAGCCCAGCACCTTCTCCTGTGGGCTCTGCCCGTGGGAGTAGCTGAGGTGGTGAGATGAAGGGCCTGCTTGGTGGGGCTGCGGTGAGGAAAGTCCCTCAGGGCCTGCCTGCCCCTGGGGCTGATGCAGACACTTCCCCTCCCCACACACAGCCAGACAGGGTGCAGGGCAGTTAGGCCTGAGGTTGGCCTGAACCCTCCCTACCCTTCCCTGGGTCACACATGCTGGGCCCTTGGAGAAGCAGCCTGGCCTGTGGGGCATCATGCTCACAGATGTGAGGTCCCAGTGCATTCTGGGGCGAGTGAGCACTGATACTCAGGGAAAGCAGCGAACAGCAGCTGTACCCTGTGCCTTGGATGAGGGTGGGAGAAAGGTGCCATAGCATGGGGAGGACAGAGGACAGAAAGCCAGCCATGCTTCCAGGACCCCCTGGCTGTTAGTGCAAGCTGACCCTCCTTGTCACCTGACTGACCTCCTCTGCTGATCCTTCATGAGGAAGCTCCTCCCTCTAGGGTCTGCCTCTGCCCTCTCCTTCCTGCACCTTTGGTCCATTGTACCTCTCCCTTCCCTGTACATCCCAGTGCCCAGCTGGCCAGCCCCTCCAGGAAGCTCCCTAAGACTCAGCCCTGGGCCATGGAGTGGTACCAGCCCTATTATGCCCACCTCCCCTGTGTCTGGTGCCTCTGGCCCAGCTCAGGACAGCTGGACTCTCGGAGGCATTGACCCACATCTGGGTTCCACCTGTCTCCACACAGTCTCTTTCCTCCTGAAGATGGACAGGGCCTGGCTGAGTTGGGCTTGGAGCTGCCTGGGAGAGGAAGGGCATATTTTATGGTACTTGCTCACCTGGCACCCCCTGGTGGTTGTGGCAGAGGCCCAGGGTCGGACTCCCTCCCAGATCTGCCCAGTGCCTGTTGCCCCTCCCACTGTCCCTGTTCCCCAGGCTTCACCACACTGGCCTCCTGCTCTCCTGCAGCCTCTTGAGCTAGTTCCCATCCTGGGCCTTGGCAGTTGCCTCTGTCTGGGGCTCTTCCTCTGAATCTGTGGAAAAGCCCTCTTTCTGTCCCTGGGCTGTATGTAGATGTCACCCCAGAGGCCACACTACTGTCTGGGCTGTTAGAAACTGCTACAACATAGCCTCCCTGAGGCTGTGCCTGGGACACTGAGCCCTGTCAGGGACGCAGACTGGCTGGTTGGGGCTCCTTTGTGATAGGGTGGGGCCAGCAGAGAAGTCAGGGGTGGGGTCAAGAACTGCAGGCTCCTGGAGTGTCGCTATTCTGTGTGCTAGCCCTCTGTGCCTCTGTCCCTTAATTTTCACTTACTCACCACCCTGAATAGCAGGCTGTTCAGGGTGGTGAGTATCTGGGGACAGGTAAAGGGCACAGGCTTGACCCAGACACCTCCTGGCCTCACCTGAAGTTGGCAAGATGAACCACAGAAGGCCAACCCTTGGTGGCTGGCCTAGGCCCAGCAGGGACATCCTGCTGTGAAGCTCCCAATGTCTTCTGAGAGGGACAAGGAAGATGTGGAACAGCTTGAAACTGCATGAGGAGGCTGCAAGTGGTGTGGTGGGGAGCCAGGCCGACAGATAGAGGCTCCCCTCTGAGCAGGGCACCTCTGGGCAAAGAAGCAGAAGGCCTTGCCTTGACGGAGGTGCGTCTGCAGATGGCAAGGGGGAGGCCCCTGTAATGGAGATAGTGTGTGCCTCTGTGCGGCATGCTACCGTCTGACAGCCCCGCAGTTAGGTCCCTTGGGCTCCCAGCCATCCCACCCCACCCCATCCCATCCTTTCCAAGGGAGCCCCACCCCCTCCAGAGCGGAGGGGGGGATCATCTGCATGAGAATGGGCCAGCCGTGGCCTCTGGGCTGGACTTTCTACCCTTTCCAGGCCCAGAGAAGTACCTGGAAGTTCCCAGCCAGATCTTCAGTGTGCACACAGCCTGTATGGGGCGGGTGTTAGTGTGTGCAGGCAGGTGGGGGCGTGTGACCCCAATGCTGCAGACTTGGAGGGTGGGAGTTCCTGCACGCCCCAGAGGAATGCTAGTGTGTGGGATTGCTGTTGCTGCGGGGGGCTGTTTCCTGGCTCAGTATCCTGTTCATTCCCAGGGCATGGGCCTGCGTGGGCTGCTCCAGGCTGAATGATTTTGTCTGAAGATCCCAAAATAGCTTTAGTAGCCTGAGCTCCCCTCCCCCTCGGGCCTGGAGCCTCAATGGCTCTTTGTCTCTCAAGACATCCCGCCCCTGCTGGGGGTGAAGACACTGACTGGGGCTGAGTGGGGCTGGGCTGCCAACCTTGTTCCCTTTCCTATTGGCTGATACCAAAGGACCCTAAGCCCCATTCCCAGTGTTGGCTTGGGCCATCTCGGGCTCCCATGTGAGCATCCAGGCCAGCCTGTTGGCACTCCTTCAGTATCAGAGCCCAGGGTCTCTGGGGGAGCCAGACTTTGCCAGGGGCTCCCACTACCACTCAGACACCCCTGCCCCCAGCCCCGCTACCCTATTCCTAGCTTCTTCCTGCAGAGCATACCTAGAACATTCTTAGTGTTTCCTGAGGCTTGGCCTCCGGCACTTTCTGGGATGCTCTCTGCCACCCAGCAGTGAGAGGCAAATGGGAAAGCCTGCATGAGCCACTCTGGGTGCCCCACACCAAGTCGGCTTTCTGGCTCTAGGAGTCAGACCCTGCCCTGGGCAGGAAGTTGCCAGCACCTCCTGGACACTTTTTAGCGTGTCATGGACAGTATCAGGGGTCCAGAGGTGTTTGGGGCAGGAGCTCCCCAGAGGAGAAGTGAAGGTGGCCAGGGACTGGGACTTCTTGCAAAGTTTCATTAGAACAATGGGTTTCAGGGCCACAAGAGATGGGAAGGTCCCTAACACAGGTGATGGGCAGGGGTGACTCCCAAGTGGGATGTGGCAGTGGAAGGAGTAGGAGCAGAGGGACAGGGTGGAGTGCGAGTGCCAGGAGGCAGTCGGTAGGTTGGGGGCTCCAGCAGGCTACCTGTGGGATGGAGGCCATGTGGGGGTGGGGCCATTTCTGGGCCTGGGAAGGACTCATTCAAGGACTGGGCAGAAAAAGCCCCACAGACGGACCAGGGATTACCGGGGAGGTGGGTGTGGTCAGTGCTTTTTTCCCAAGGTGGACTGACATGAGCTCAAGTGACCACGAGGTGGCACTGGTAACTGTGGCAGCAGAAGTTTGGCTGGAAGGGAGACCTACCAGGGCATATAGAGCTGACAGCAGAGCATGTGGGTATGCCTGGGTGGTGCTATGGGAAGTGAGCACCAGGTTCTGGCAGGGTGCACAACCTGGCCTAGAGGAGGAGAACCCTAGTGCTGAAAGGACATGGCACACGTGGATGCTTGTGTGGTGGGGTGTGAGTAGGACCAGTGAAGGGTGGGGGCATGGGTGCTCAGAGATCTGTCCAGGATAGTGAAGGTGTTGGCCATGGAGGTGGTCACCTTGGCCTCAGAAGGACAGATGTGGCTAGTCAGGATGGCGTGGGGATCCAAGCTATGGGACCTCTCCAACCCATGGTGCCCCCAAGTTTGGAGGGAGCAGAAGTCGGGGCCGTGTGTAGATGCCCTATGGATCTGGGATTCCAGACTGGCTGCCCTCCTCTCCGGCTCGGAGTTCCAAGGGAGGCCGCTGGGGGGCGCTCTAGGCCCGTGGGACCACAACTGCTTTTTGCATACGGCTTATTTGCTTGGGCCTCATTTGCATTTTTTTCTCTTTGCACTGAAGGGAGTTAAGGTTGCACTGATGATTTGAGGTGTTTGCTGCCAATTCCTAGGGGAGAAGTGGGCAAAGCAAATTCTGGACACGTCACTTTACACCAACCCTCCTTCCACCTTGCACCCTACCTGGGGACCCTTGCCCACACACAACAGGGTGGAGACATCAGAACAGACATATTTGCAGGCACACACAGACGAATCCCAGAACCCTAGAACCGGGTCGTAGGTGCAGGGCCAAGCCCCCTATAGGTATGTTAAACCTTACTGCCCCGCCCCGCCGGGCACCAGCCCAGCCTCTGCCTGCGACTCAGCCCCAGCTCCTGTCGCCCTTGCCCCAGTGAGGTTCTGGTTCTTATCTTTCTCGCTCCCCATCCCCGGGCCAGCACTAGCCTCCTCTCCAGCCACCTCGCCAGCACCTGGCCCGCCTCAGTTCTTTTTCAGCCCCTCCTTTGGCCCCTCCCCTGGCCTCAGCCCCTACCTCCTGCCCCTGGCCAACCCCTCCCCAAGCCCCGTCCCCTTTTTAGCACCATCTTGCCCCTGTCGACGCCTTAACCCCCACATCAGCGCTGCCCCTCCATCTCTTTTGTGACTCGCGTCGGCCCTCATCCGCCCATCCTCTGCTCTGAGCTGCGACTCCCCGCGGACGCCGGGGTCCCCCGAGGCATCTTCCTTTGTCTCTGCTCCCCGCCCTCCCTCCGCGGCGCCCCTGGCCCCTCACTCACCGCCCCAGCCTCGCGAGGGTGAGGGCAGCCGCTGTTGCTGGAGGCGGGCGAGCGCCTCCGCGGCCGGCTCTTTATTCTTTCCGACGCCGTCGCTCCTCCCGCTGCTGCCATCGCGCTCCCGCCTCTGCCAGGCGCGAGCAGCAGGCCCCGCGCCCGCGGTCCCGCCGGCCTCGGTCTCCGGCTCCCGCTCCCGCTCGGCGGACAGCGCCGGCTGGCGGGCGGAAGGGTTGCGGCGGCAGGGGTGGCCCCGGCCTTCTTCCATCCTCCTTCGCCGGCTTCTGAGCCCACATTGGGGATTTCTGCTCCTGGATTATTCTGCGCGCATCCCGTTATGAGCCTGGAGGGCCGGGGAGGGCCAGGCGTGCCCCAGGCTGTGAATGGGGCTGAACTTTGAGAGCGCAGCAGCTGTCCACTGCCCCAGGGGACCTAGAATGGGGGCAGTCGCCCCGAAGAGGCCTAAGGGCGCTCCGTGAGGACCCCCACTCCCCAAGAGAGAGGCCAAGCCCCAGGCCATGCCTCCGTTGCCGCTGGAGCGGCCCCCCCGGCAGCAGCCTGGCGCCTCGCTGGTGGTGCGGTACTTCATGATCCCCTGCAACGTCTGTCTGATCCTGCTGGCCACCTCTACGCTGGGCTTCGCGGTGCTGCTCTTCCTCAACAACTGTACGTGGCGGCTGGGCGGGGCCCAAGTGGCCCAGCTTCTGCTGGCCAAGTCCTGCTTCCCTGCTGGCAAGGGTACAGGGCAGGCAGGGTCACAGCCAGGCCAAGGGCCACAACTAGCTTGAATGGGCCACACATTCTTCTGGGGATGGAATGGATTGCTCTGGACCTGTCCTTGGGCTCCTGGCCAGCTGACCCCCATCTTGATGGGGCAGAAACAACTTCCTGTGGGAGTAAGAAAGGGGTAGTTGCACTAGGAATGGGGGGTTGGACTTATTTGGTAAATCAGGTGACTTTACTGGGGACCCACTTGGCAGGTTATGGGTGTCAAGCCCTGACCATGCAGCTAGAAGGGCAGAGGAAAGTAAGGGTCCCTGCCCTCTTCTCCAGAGTCTGAGCCAGTCTATGGGGGAAGGGCAGAGTGGGCGTGGTGGTCTCTGGAAGGCCTTGCTCCCAGGGCCCTAACTTGGAGATTTGTTTTATTCCAGACAAACCTGGGACCCACTTCACACCAGCACCTCCCATGCCTCCTGACGGTGAGTGGGGCAGCCTGGGTGGAAGGCACAGCTCGGGGTAGCAAGTGGGCAGGGCACTCCTAGGGTGGGTTCATTCTAGGGTGTGTATACCAAGGGTGCCAGGTGTCTGGAGCGGGGAGGCTGGGCCAGGAGCCCGGGTTCCTCCTGGGGCATCTGCTGAGTGTAATCACGGGGTCTCAGCTCCTGGCAGCGCTCAGGCAGGCTCTGGTTTCCCTGGGCCTCAAGATTGGGAGGAACCCTAAGAAGTGAGATGCTGGCAGGTGGTGTGGGCAGGGTGGGGGTGGGCAGTGGAGTAGGCTGGTAGTGGGGGGGATTCCTCTCCTTTGTCCTCCCTTCTCCCTTTTCAGGAAGGGCTGGGGCCAGGCAGGGGTTGAGAAAGTCAGAAGTGCAGAGGGGAAACTGGGCTGGGGGTGGGGAGTGTCTCAGCATGACAGGAGGAGTCAGAAAGGCTGGCCTCTGTCTCTGGGAGGATGCCAGTGATGGAGGGGTGGGCTGACCTTCTGGACATCCCTATGGGTTGGGATGCCCTCCCACAGGCTGCGGAGCACGGGCCTCTGTAATTAGGTTAATGTCGGAGGGAAAGAGAAGGCTCTAGTGCTGCAGAGGACCGGCACCAAGGGGTTGCCATGGTCTGTTCACCCTTCCTGCATCCTCAGCAGGCGGGTGGGAGCTCCCAGGTCTGCTCTCCGTCCTGCCCCGTCACTGGGTTGTCTGACAGGCAGGACATGGGTGGGGAGGACCACCTGAGAGAGCCCTGGGTGGCCTGGGGGGGAGCATGGCCCTGGGCCTTCTTCTCAGGATGCAACCCCAGGGCTGCCTACTGAATCGTGGGACCCCCAGAAGCAGGAGCTGGATTCCTGGGAACAGGATGAAGGGGCTCTGCTGTCCTTCAGTGGCCATCTGGGCAGGGGTCACGTGTGACCAACTGTTCTTTATTCCTGGAAGCTGCAGGGTTATTGACTGCTTTCTTTTTTTTTTTTTCCCTTGTAATGCTGGGGATCAAACCCAAGGCCCTACCACTGAGTCCCAGCCCTTGCCCCACCCTCTTTTTACTTTTTATTTTGAGACAGGGTCTCACTAAATTTCTGAGACTGGCTTTGAACTTGCAATCCTCCTGCCTCAGTCTCCCAAGTAGCTGGTATCACAGGCGTATTTTCAGATGTACCAGGGTCCCTGGGCTGGGCAGCATTTAGGGTGGGGCAGTAGGAATGGGTGATGGTGGCTGTGGGGAACACATCCTGGCCCTGGGCTCTGCTGTGCAACCCAGGTCTCTGACCACAATGCCCCTCACGCTGCTCCCACCAGACCTGAAGAGGTCCGAGCCCCACCTGGGCTGTGGGAGGGGAGTCTGTGGCCTCTGGGGTACCTCTTTCTGGGGGATTGCAGTCCTTCTCCTGAGACACAGAAGCCTTGGGGTCAGAGCAGTGCAGCACCCCTTCATGGTATGTGACCCTTGGTATTGGCACGTATTGTGGGGACCGGTGGCTGATGGGGTAAGTGGATGTGGGTACATCCCATTTTTCTCAGACCACTGTCCCCCTTCTGGCCTGGGGCAGGAGGCTGTGACCCAGACAGGTCCCACATCTTCCAGGAAGGGGCCCATGTCCTCCTGTGGGGTGACTAAGGAGGAAGCCAGTCTGCACTGGGCTGGGGCTGAGCACTGAGTGTCTACAGCCTCTCTCCTGAGTCCCTCGATTTAACCCACCCTCCCCACAGCTGCCCACTTGAGTCCCTGTGCACACCCTAGCCATCAGGACACACGTGTGGCCACAAGCAGGGCTCTGGGCGTTGGTTCCATCCCCCAACCCATCCTAGACCAGGAGGAGATTTAAATATATCAGCGGCATCTGTGGCTATAAAAAGCCCTTCCACCTCCGCACCGCAGCGAGAGATTGCTCCGGTGGGACGCTCAGTGGCCAGGGAGAGGCTTCCACTGGGGACTGAGCAGGGTGACCCACTAGGGAACCATGTCACCTGAATTTATGAGGGGTCACGGGCAGCAGGTGTGTCTCGAGTCCAGCCCTTCCATTCCTTAGTAGTGACTTTCAGGAGACCTCTGCCCTCAGTTTCCTCTTCTGCTGAGTGGGCTTGAGGAGGGGCATATGTGTGTGAAGGAGTATGCCTAGGAGGGCCTGGCTGCTGTGGCAGACCCTGCCTGCACCTGTGCGCAGGTGTGCCTGTGTGTGTGCTTGCTGGTGGGCCTGTGGGGGGGG